CAGTAAAAGCCACACGAGGCTTATTGAGAAAATGGGCTATGGCACAACACTGAGAAACCTCATAGTGACACAGATAGGAACCTGGTGAAAGTAGCACAGTCTTACATATGTCAAGTGGTTAAAGAAGGTACATGAATACTAGATTAAAGTGATGGTTTACCTTGAGAAGAACTGGCACTTACCTCTGAAGTGTGCCTCTTAGCACTCCCAAATGATTAGTGCTTCCAGGCACAGCTGTCTGCATCCACCTAATGTTGCTTCCAGACAAAAGCGAAGGCAAAATTTCATCACGGCCCAATTGTTCCTCATTATATCAACGGCTTTGGAGTAAATCTGCATTCTCAATTCAGGCATTTAAAAATTTTTTTTTAAATTAAAAAACTACTGTAGCAAACTTGATTATATTTCATTAGATTGGGATTTTATTTAATCATTTTATCTGAAGAGAAAATGCAAATGCTACCTAACTAGTTTGGGGGCTGTATCCTGATAGCTCCACAGTGTATCGGAAGTGTTGTGAGTCAAGACCACATCAAGACTACTAACCTCCTGGAGGTTCTAATGTCACAGCATGGCACACTGCGACTTGGACTGCTTCCCCTACGGTCATGGGCTTGAGAGCTACGGCTCTCCACAGTGCCCTGCATCAAGAAAGAGGGTTGTTCTGTGCATCACTAGCCCAGAAAAAGACAAGGACAGCTTTCCTAAGTGCAGGTCGTGCTGCACTATCGTAATACTGAGAAGTTGTGAGTTGAACTGTCGCAAGTTGATAACCATGTATATGTTTGTTTTGAGACACCTGTGTGAGAATTCTGATGCCCAGAGAAGAAAAGGAACATATTTTTCAGCTCCAGAGTTATTTTAAAATTTATTTTAAAGAGGGTAAAACAAACCATAACAAAATAGAACAAAGCAGATCAAAAGAAAGCAATGCAAGTGACACAGATTTCAAAGCAAGACAACAGGAGATCAACAGTGGCTACCATGTCTCCTGTTTTCTTCCAAATTGTCTGTATCCTCATACACAATGAATTCATACAAAACAAAACAGTATAAAACTTATCAAAACATAATAATGAAGGCATTACAGGCCTTTAAAACCAGACAATAGGAAAATCAACAATTGTTACCATCCATTTACCTATAAAAATCTCAATGTGATCATTCTTTCTAGCTTAGTAGTACTCCACTGTATAAAAATACCACATCTTTTTTATTTATCCATTCCTCAGTTGATGGGTATTTAGGTTGTTTCCAAGATCTGACTGTTACAAATTGTGCTGCTATTAAACATGGGTGCACATACATCACTGTGATATGATATTTTCAGTTCTTCTGGGAATATGCCCAGAAGTGGAATAGCGGGGTCAAATGGGACTTCCAGTTCTAGTTTTTTGAGGAATCTCCAGACTGACCTCCACAGTGGTTGCACCAGTCTACAATCCCACCAACAGTGCAGGAGAGTTCCTTTTTCCACACAGCGTCTTCAGCATTTGTTGTTCATAGTTTTCTTGATCCCGGCCATTCTTTCTGGAATGAGATGGAATCTCATTGTTGTTTTAATTTGCATTTCTCTAATGACCAATGGTGCTGAACATTGTTTCATTTATTTACTTGCCATTTGTATTTCTTCATCTGAGAACTGTATATTCATCTCAGATGCCCATTTTTGGATTGGGTCTTTGAATTTTGGGGATCTGATTTTTAAAAATTCTTTATATGTTCTAGACAGAAGTCCTTTGTCTGAGGAAAAGTTGACTGATGAGATTTTTTCAAAATTCATAGGTTTCCTTTTTACTCTGTTGGAGATTTTTTTTGACATGCAAAAGCTTTTTAATAAGATGAGATCCCAGTTATTGATTCTGGGAAGTATTTCCCGTGTGGTTTGATTTTAGTTCATGAATTATCTGCCTACCACTATATCTTCAAGATTTCTACCTACTTTGTTTTCCAGCAGATTTAGTGTTTCTGTTTTAATATTTAGATCATTGATCCATTTTGACTTTTGTACATGGTGATAGGTAAGGGTCTAGTTTTAGTTTTCGGCTTTTGGAGAGCCAGTTTTTCCAGCACCACTTAATCAAAGAGACTTATCTTTCTTCCAGTAAATGTTTTTGGCCCCTTTGTCAAAGATAAGGTGTCAGCTCCAAAGTTCTAACTGGGTTTTTCCCTCCCTTTGTAATATAGGCAGGAAATTATTTCTTTAGGGTACTACTCAGGGTATAACACAAGATATTTTCTGTGGATGACTATGGGTAAAAATAGGTTTTAGTATTTTGTCATTTTAATATTTATCAGGAAAACGTAGAATAAGCTCGTTAATCTACTGTTGTGTGGCCATGTGACCTTGGGAGCAGTTAGTTGAGGGTAGGGATTTTTTGCTTCACTCTGAAGCCTCTTTGAAATGATGGGGTGGGAGGAGCAGAGGGAAAGGTCATTAAATGTATGCGGAACCTGGAATGTGGAATTGTCTTGTCCAAGGTACCAAGAATACCAGTAAGAGAGAGTTGGCAGTATCAAGACTACCAAAGGAAATGAAAATGAAAAAGGTGAAATGAATTTAAAGAGAAATGCTGAAGTTTTAAAAAACTATTTTATGTGGCTTTGGTAAGAATGTTGAAAATAGCTTGCAATTCATAGAAGTTTGTAAAACACTATAAGGACAAGTAGTGGTGAACTTTATTTGACAGACTCTTTGTAGGACAGTTTTGCATGGTGGTGACTTACACAGATAATGGTTCTTGAGACATCTGCTCCATCTAGGATAGGCTTTCACCCTGTCTGCTTAGGAATGTCACACAGGGAAGCTTGTGAAGGTGTGGGTGTCACAGCCACACCTAGACAGCTTAGTCACAGTGTGAGTGAGGATACAAGCATCAGTCTGTTTTAAAGCTCCTTGGGCCATTCCTGTGTGCAGCCAAAACAAAACCACTGGTTTAGGATCTTTTGAAAACCACTCCTTTTCCAAAGAAAATCTGGGCCAGTCTTAATACATGTTAACTGAAGACAAATGTTACTTAACTTGCCTTGTACAGGAAGATGAGAGACAAGGCTCATGGAAGCTCCTCCCCTCCGTGGTGGGAATTCAAAGTATAAACACATGTTTATGATCATGGGTGACAAGTGTTGCAGCTCAGAAGGATGCTCAGAGTGTTTTAGAATCACAGCAAAGAGACCGCATTTAAGACCAAAACCTCATTTCCAATTTGAAAAATTATTAAAATTACTTCAGTTTTCCTTTCCTTAAACGCACATGTGGGGTGGTGGGAAAGAGGTGTTTATTGTGATTGAAAGGGTTTTGGCCCAGGCCAGACACTGCAGCTGGTATAGCCAAGGAGCTCCTATCTCCCCCACCCTTAGGAATCTACCTCTGGCGCCAAACTAAGACCAATGGGCTACCTGTGCATCCCTAATACCCCCCTTAGGTTCCACCCCAAGCCGAGGCTACTTATGTGTCTCACTCCACGTGTTCCACAGAGAGACCACCGGCCAGGGGTGGAGATGCCACGCCCCAGGGTGTTGGGGGGTGTCTCTCCCCGCATTCTCAAAATAAAGGTCATTTATATTTCATACTTCTTATCTTTTCAGCCGCTGCCGGTCCTCCCCCCAACAATTCTATCAGTGATCACTCTCATTTTAACCTTCCTGACTTGATTGTAGACTTTCTGTGATTGATCTGGAGAGTGTTAATTTTGTCTGTAGGTTGTCTAATTCTGTGCTGCTGTGAGGCAGGCTCTTAAGTACCTCCTAGAGCATTGCTAACCTAGTGGTGGCCTTCCAGGAATAAGTTTTAGCATCACCAAAAGGCGGTAGACTGCTAAAGGGTGACTTTGGGGATAAGCCACTTAAGGAATAGCTGTAGTCCTCTTTCTAGCGCTCACTGTTCTTGGCACACATCCAGCTCCCAGGTTCACACAGGCCAGTGTTCGGCTGCATGTATAACTTAGAGTTAGGCAAATGTGTGATTTTCTTTTTTTTTTTTTTTTTTTTTTTGTCTTTTTCATTTTTATCGGTACCAGGGATCGAACTCACGACCGCCTGCTTGCAAGGCAGATACTTATACTGCTGAGCTAAATCCCCAGCCCCTAAATGTGTGATTTTCAATCATGAGTATATTTCAAGACAACCACTAAGTTGCTATCTCAGGTTGTGAAGTAAAGTTACTAGTAATTAACCTGCTTCCGATGGTAACATTTTTCAATAGCTCTTGATTTATATTAGTGTGAATTACCTTCCTCTGAGAAAACTTGATTCTCCAGTGGATATAATCTCGATTAAACTTTATAGTCTGTACTGAACCATGAATTATTTCCTGGTTTAAAAACCAGGCCTAGTAGCTATTTGCGGTATTTTTGTCTTGCACCTTTGGCATCTTTGTGGTGTGACCCAGAGCTGTGCCATTTGTAGTCAAGTGAGATAATTTGTTTTAAAAAAGTGAAATGATTCACTGGAAAATTTCAGCACAGATTCTTAAGGAGTGGTAAGGGAACCCCAGAAGCATTCTTATTTGGTATCATTTGCTGGTGAGTAGTGATAGGGGAAAAAAGGGCACAACTTGCTTCTTAATACTTTGCTGGTTTGAAAATTAAAGAGGTCCTATGCTAGAAAGAGAGAGAAAGGGTTCCCACATGGTGTCACTTAGAGCTCCACAGAGGAGTGAATCATTTTCCTTTATGAATGCGAACTGGAGCCAGTGAGGATCATTTTTAGCATGCCAAACCAGAAAGGCGATGTGGCCTGTGTTTAGAATGCTTGTTTCATTTCCTAATGGGTGTCTGTGATAAACCTGACTATGCTGAGGTGGCTGGAAAGAGGCAGGCTAGTTCCTAGAACGCTGGGTCTGTGGGGCCTAGATAGGCCCTTTCTGAAAGCTCCTGCCTTTAGCATGGTCTCACTTAATGACATGTTTTGGCCTTAGACATGTTCAGGGAGCTCTTCCTGAGTTCCATTTGAGATTTGCCTGAAATATGGTGTCTTTTTGTCTCTCTTTTCCTTTCCAGAAAGAAGACATAGCTCATCCAACAAACCTTCTTTGGCCGTTCCTCCCGCTTCCGTATTTCCCTTCTTCCCTTCTCTGTCCAAAAGCAAAGGAGGCAGTGCAAGTGGAAGCAGCCGCTCTTCCAGTGGAGCGGCTGTGAGCGCATCTTCGTCCAGTTCCAGGTCACTAAAGTCACCCAAAGAGAAACCACAGCTCAGGGGGAACACCAGGCCAATGCACCCCATTCAGCAAAGTCGAGGCCCCCACGGCAGAATGTGAGTATGGCCAGAGAGCCGTCTGCACACACTTGCCTGCAGGAGCACATCGTGTGTGCGGAGCAGTGTCTGTGAGAACCCCTAGGGAACGCAAGACCGTGTTGTTGGTTCTTTCTGTTTCCCTGTCTTATCCTAGGGGGCTTTCAGAATAGTCATAGCCACATTGATAACATTAGTAAATATTTGCTGAGCCTTTACTGCACCTAGCTCCTGTAACTAAGTTCTTTGCACTGTGTCATTTAATTATCACAGCATCCTTGGGGAGCAGGTATTGTAGTCCCCATTTTCCAAATGAAAAAAAGGTTGAATTGAGGACCTTTGAGAAGACTTCAAGTCAAATAGGCCTGAGTTCAGGTCCTGCTTGTATCACTTTCTCACTGAGGGCTTTGCACAGGGCAGGGTTTAAGAATCCCAGCCATGATGCAGGCTTGCTGGAGGTGTTCGGTCGGTTGGTACCTGTCAGGTAGCCACGTGTGTCTGGCCAAAGAAGATGGTAAATAAATGATGCCAGTATCCTGCTGCTTGTCTAGTACTAAAAGGGGAAGGGACGCCCCGTTGCCCAGTTGCCACTCTAGGCTTTTCTGGGCCCTGCAAACCAGAGAGCGAAGTTACATCCTCTCCCAGCTTTGGGTTCATGTCACAGCAAAGGTTGAAAAAAGTTCGTGTTCTCTGCAATTCTTGGCGAGTTTGCAGGGCTCTGGCAGTCGGCATCCCCCCATGGCATCCCGTGGAGGAGCAGCTGAGTACTCCCTTGGAAACACCTTGCCACATCGAGGCAGCCTGTGGCCTGGTAGCAGGTAGCTTTCCCTGCCCACCTCCCTGTGGAGGATATGCCACACGTTTTGGTCCCCAGGGCGGTAGCTGTTTAATGTCTGGGCAGAGTCCAGCACCTGCTGCTGCTGTAGAGCTTGCCAGTGGGGTGTGGCTAGGCCATCTTCTAGTGTCTCTGCTGCCATCAGGCTGCTCCAGGTACAGTTGTTTGGGGCTGTTTGTCCTGGTTGCTAAGCCCCCAGCCCTTAATCATCTTTCAGAAGTACAGCACAGGAAGCTTGGCTTTCAGACCTCCATAGCTGCCTGAAAGCCAAAGAAAATACCGGTGTGATGTGTAAGTCACTCGCCAGTGTACTCGCCAAGTCACTTCTCAGATTCTACTGAGAAGTTTGTTAAACCTCATCACTCCAGATCTTTATGCAGCGCTAGGGCTTAGGAAGGACCAGGCTCCTGTTAGCTCCCTGCCAACAGCATTGGGGTTACCAAGCAAAATGACTGTGTCAGTGAAATCTCAGGAGAAGTCAGTCCGTGTCCATGGCACAGGTCCTTGACACTCACCTGCTGTGTTCCAGCTGTGTGGGTTCTAAGCTCCTGTCATAGAAACCTTGTTTTGGTGACTTAGAAGTTAACATTTCAGTGATGCATTGTATAGTAAGTCAACTTCAGTCCTCCTTGTAGACAGGAGAAGTGCCTTAGAGATATAGTTTTAGACATCTGTGTTTGATGTGATGTTTGAGTGCCCTTAAGTTTTTAGTGAGATTTCCAGGAAATACAGTATTTGCTCCTTTGGAAGTTTGGTTGTTTTGATGACTCCTTTTTTTAAAGCAGTGATTCTTACAGGATATTCTCGTAAGTGTTCTGCAGGGATTCTTTGGTCTGCTCAGGCTTTTTCATGTGTTGCTTGTTGCAGAAATTGTGTTGGTTAGCAGTTCTAAGTTTTTCCAAAATGATGGCAGACTAGCAAATTCAATGGTCCATGGGAACTTCGCCTTCCCACCAGGCCTTGAGATGGAATTAGCAAGAGCCTTGGGGCTCCTGAGAGGCCAGCCTGGCCTGCTCAGCAGCCTGGGCTCTGCTCTCTGGCCTCCAGCTCTCACTTTGCTGGGGCTGCAGGGCACTGTGGCACAGGTGTTGTTGCTTGCTCCCACCACAGCATGACACCCTCTGTGAAAGTGGAGAAGATTCATCCAAAGATGGATGGCACACTACTGAAACCTGCAGTGGGGCCCACCTGCCCTGCTACTGTGAGCTCCTCAGTCAAGCCTGGCCTTAACTGCCCCTCAATACCAAAGCCAACCTTGCCTTCACCTGGACAGATTCTGAATGGCAAAGGGCTTCCTGCACCTCCCACTCTGGAGAAGAAATCCGAAGACAGTTCCAATAACAAGAAGTTTTTAAATAAGAGATTATCAGGTAACTTCACAGTTCTTGGTTTAGTTTAAATGGGCATCCACTAGGCTCGGACGGACTGCTGTCTAAGGCTGCAGCCTCAGCGGGAAGAGGAAGTCCTGGGCAGCGTGCTCAGTCTCCTCCCTATGGGTTTTAGAGAGTGTGTTGGTGGGTGTGCATGAGCTCAGGTGACATGAGACACGCTCTCCAGTGGTGTCTTTCTAAGTATTGATGCAATAATGCTATTGTGACTTTTCCTGTCATCTGAAGGCAGTCATGGCCTTTGGGATGCTGTCGCTTCATTTCAGCGCAGACACATCATCTTTATTTTAATTTATATTAGTATGTTTACAATATGTAATGACCACATTCTTCACTGGGAGTTGATGCATGTACGTGACATACCTGAATTCTTTTATAAGAAATAGGAAAAAAATCTGTTTTCCTATTTCTTATCATCTGTGACTTCTTTTCCTCTTAATTGTATTTTGGGTTTATTGTGTAAGCTGTGGCATGTAAGCTTGTGTATTTGATCTGTTTCATGTAAGACTATGGGCTAAAGGCACATCCATTTTCCTACAGGAAATTCGAGTCTATCCTTCATGGCAGAGTGGTGCTCCATGTGTGTGTAGACCACATTTGTTTACCCATTCTTCTGTTGGTGTTATTTATCCATAATGTGATAGCTTTTATTTATATTTATCTGTCTTGAGATTTCTCCTGTTTTCTTATTTACAAAATAGATGAAGGAGTATTTGGCAAGCAGTTGTAATGTCTATGTGCTTTTGACAGAGAGAGAGTTTGATCCTGACATCCACTGCGGCGTCATTGATCTCGACACCAAGAAGCCCTGCACCCGGTCTCTAACATGCAAGGTGGGTGAACCCCTGAGCCCGTCCCTTGGGGAGCGGAGCCCCAGGAGTGCTGCACTGCTGGCCACATGGTGCCTGTGCACTGCGCTCCGTCATGGTCTGTTTAAAGATGGGAAACGCAGCTCTGGTGAAGACAGCCTCCAGCTGGCGAGACCTAAAGTGGGGTTACAAGTGCTACGCTCGAAAGAGGGTCTGTTTTTAATGAGCTTTGTATACTTCTGGACAATTGTGTTCTGTCTTGATCAGTCTGTTATTTTCCAAGACTCATTATTTCCACATGGAAATTTAATGAGATGCGACTCTATGTGGTTTCTGTTGACTTAAAACAAGTCCACAAGTATCTTTGTAAATATCTGAATATTTTTACAATGTTCTTAACTGTTAAAGAATCACCTTTTACCACTCTGATTGACCTTAGTGTGGAATCCGGCCTGTCTTGTTATATCGTGTCAGTTGTTTTCAGTAATTACAATTTGTGGTTTGTAATACTCGGACTAGTTTGGTCTAATTTCTTACACAAACTAAATTGAAATTTATTATTGCTTTAAAAAAAAAGTAGGCTTTGAGATTACCTTACTTTGTAGCTTACCAAAAAATATTAGAGAAAATATAACCTAATTTATATGTAAATTGAGGCAAGAGTAATGCCCTGCTTCTTGTTTTGAAGTTTTCCCTTCTTCCTGTGGAATGTCTGTCTGCTAAGTAGGAAGCTCACACACATGCTGTGAAGTGAGAGCCCAATGTGGGCTGGCTGGAGCGCCTGTGTTTGTGTATGCTTCTCCAGTGGCCCCGGCTGACCTTCAGAAGGGTTCCAACTACGACAGGAAGTTCCCGACTTACAAAGGAGTTCCATTCTAGGAGAACTATTCTTACCTTGAATTTATTCATAAGCCAACAGAGCGAGTCTCACATGGCACACCTGTGGAAGTTTGAAATTCGAATGCTCCTAAACCGGGAACTTACTGTGCTTTTAAGCATATACTTTTAAGTCTTTTTTTTTTTCAAGGAGAAGGGAGAATTATAAAAGTGCTTTCTAAAAGTTAGTAAGTTGTTCTCTTCTAAATTTTACTTTTAAATGGTTTTTAATTTCTATTTAAATTCCTGATGGACTTTAACTAGTGGTAAATTTTGTCTTCCAACATGGATTGGTTCTGAACCTTTTGGGGGAAAGGCTAAATTTAAATGCCTAATTTAGAGCTAAGCATAGTAGTACATGCCTGTAATCCAAGCACTTGGGAGGCTGAGGCAGGAGGATTGTTGTCAGGTCAAGGCCAGCCTGCGCTACACAGTGTGGTCAAGGCTACCTTGAACTCCTTAGTGAGACCCTGTCTCAAAAAACAAAATAAATAAAAATAAACATCTAATTTCTTAAAAATTAGGGGAAAAGCCCACTTATGTATTTAGTGTGAATTTTGCTTTCCATCTAGGGTTGATGGACACCCCTACCCCAAGTCTGTCCTTAAACTCTAGATAAAACCTCCTACCACCAGACAAACTGCTTCTGCCTTTCATGGGGTACTAACTGAACACACACGGTAGGCATTGTAATCACTGTACCTGTCACTGAAGCACAGCCCCACAGCTCTCTGAATGAACTGTTGCTTTCAGCCAGCCCAAGGGAAGATGTGCCGCCCTGTTCCAAGTTCTGGTTATAGCTTACTCCGTGTATATGCTCTGCCTCATGCCAGTGGGTTCCCAAGAACATGATCATTCAGTAATGTGGTGCCTGTGGTCAATGAGGGGTGGTTTCTTTTATCCCAAGATGCTCTTCTGTGTTACCTGCAAAGCATCATGGTGAAACAAAGGCTTTCTTTTTAAAACTTCATCATGGTGAAAGTATTTTAGATGATACATATCCTCTTAATATTGGGAGTCTCTTGTTAGTTTTGGTATTTTTTAAATACAGAACAAGAAGCATGTAGATCAATTCACTTACATTTGTAAATGTGGGATTAGGAGTGCTTTGGTTACCATGTGCTTACTTGCCGCTGAGGGTCAGGGTTCTCGACAGACTCAGACCCAAGCAGAATGTGGAAGGAATAGATAAGCTAACTAGACCTGTGGAATCATGTCACACTGACTGGACTTACTGCCATAAGATTTCACCCAACTCTGACCATGTCGTACTTTACTTTCTGTGTTAGACATCAAGTACCTTGGTTTCATGCAGTACCAGTAATTATGGACAGCACCAGTAATCAGATGCAGGCATTTTCTTGTAAGATACGTTTAGGTCCTAGATTTTATTGTTTTATTATTAGTGGCGCTGTTAAACCCAGCAGTGCCATGGTTTGCCCTCCTCAGTATGCCCACTTCCTGGCCGTGACGTCAGCTACTGCCCACACTTAGAGCTGTCAGCCTTTGTTGTCTTGGTGTCCACTGTGTCTGAGGCTTCAGCTCTGCTGACCCTTCTCCTGTCTGCTGTTTCTCCCTTCCTCTGTCTCTCATCTTGTCAGCGTCTCCAACATGATCCTTGTCAGGAGCAGTCTGTTGCAGTGTCATACTTGAGCTACTTTCTCTCCTCCTATAGCACTTTGTTTGGAGTAAAGGGAAACAATTACGTTTAGCCTTTTTGTCTCTGGCTGTAATTAAAAGAACACTTTCAAGAATGTATTTTATTTTATATTTTAATTTACAATTTAATTTATCTTTAAATTAGCATTTAGAATTTTAAATAATGGATTTTTTAATGGAGCTGATGAGACCTTCAATAAACAAATTATTTCAGCAGCATAAAGCATGAGTACCTGTTACCTGTGTCTGCTTTTCACCATGCAGTCACATAGCAAGTGAAACGGCAGCCATGTTTTCTCTTCCAGAAAGAACACCAGTCCTCTACAGTTAGCAGAAACATGTGCTTCTAGACTAGCCGAGGAGAGGAGGTGTTAATCACATCTGGAGCAGTCTTTATTCCAATGGCTTAAATGGCTTTTTTTTTTTGTACCAGAGATTGAACTCCCAACCTCGTGCTTGCCAGGCAGGCACTTGTGCCACTGAGCTAAACTGTCGGCTTAGATGGCTTTTTTGTGGAGAGAGTTATTTGGGGATATATGGTGAAAATTATTACTGAGGTTGCTTATTTCTGTATTTCTTTGTTCTATAGACACATTCCTTAACCCAGCGGAGGGCTGTTCAGGGTAGAAGGAAACGATTTGATGTGTTATTAGCCGAGCACAAAAACAAAACCAGGGAAAAGGAATCGATTCGCCATCTGGACTCTCAGCAACCACTGCAGCCTCTCAGGGACCCGCATCCCGCCCCACCCCGATTGTCCCAGGAGCCGCACCACAGTGCTCACGGAGTGACTCCTTCCGAATCCAAGCCTTTCGTAGCTAGTAAACCTAAACCTCACACCCCCAGTCTTCCAAGGTAAGCATATCCTCTGCTGTCCCTCAGCAGACTGAGAGACATGGTCAGACCGCCGTATAGTTGTGCAAAAAAGCACATCCATGCTCACTGGGAAGATTTTTAATTGGGTTTTACTATGAAAATAAAACATTGTAAAGATTGTCACCGCTAAGTGTCAGTCAGGGCCACTCTTGGATGCAAATCCAAATAGCACAGTAAAGATAAAATTGTCATCTGCTCTCTGTCTGCTCAGTGTCAAGTGTCTTAGCACTGTTGAGCAGGACTGAAGCTCGGACACTCTGAAGGTTGCAGATGAGAACATTTCACAAGGCTTTGGCAGCAGTTTTCATTCACTTGTTCCTCCTTGTGAAGTACAGCCATGCTAGAGACTGGCAGCCAGTCTCAATTTCTAGTAGCATCTATGTATCAGCATGGCTTTCATTCATTCATCTGGGTCTTGATTCTGTGAATGGAGATTGGGCATTTTGGCAGCATGGTAAGCCATGATTCGTGGTGTGTTAAGGACAGTTTATGAAATGTATACCTCAGGAACATCATGCTGGAGTATGTGTGTGTGTACTTGTATATTCAATTAAGTGGCAGTCAAGGACCTTAGGCCCAGTTTCTAGAGGGAAGGGAAAGAAAGGCCGGGAGAGTGAGGCGCTTTAGCTCTGGTTATTGAGCCGTGGGCAACAGGCCTTCTTTCAGAGATGTGCCTGCCTGTTAGTGGCTACTGCTTTCTGCTGCTGTGACCGACCCTGGAAGTGATTGCCTCAGAGTGGATGTACTTCCTCGTGACAACCCTATGTGTGCCTTGTGCCTATGGCCTCAGAGCAGTGTCCTGGAGGCAGAGCGGGAAGAGGCTCCCCGAGTTGTCAGGCCCCAACCAGAGGTGCCTTAGTACGTCCTTTCTATGGCCATCTTCTCATTGAAATTTCTCCAGCTATAAAAAGTCAGTTTAATCTCTGAACTACCAGGCCATCATAGATGCTGGAGGAAGCCAAGCCGTCCCTGTCCCTGAATAACAGGCCCCAAACTGTCCACATAAAGTGGCAATGCCGCCTCATTGCTTTATCACCTCCATCCCTTCTCTGTTACTTTATTTATTGCCCTGGCAATTCAGATTCAGTTGGAAGTTGAAGAGGGGTCAAGAAATAATCCTCTTAAAACTGCCCGCATTTCCCCCTCTTTCGAGAGCCTAGAGGCTTTGGAAAGGAGGACTGGTCGTAAGTTGTCTTTGTGTATGTCTGGCAGCCAGCTTCCTGATCACTGTGTGGTTAGGAGAGCAGTGTCTTTACTCGCAAGCCCTCCAGGCTAGCATGTGTCCCTAAGGCTGGTGGTAGAAGCCAGGCCTCCCCAGATGACTTTGGATACATGGTTGTATCCAAGTTAAGGCGGCTGGTTCACAGGCATGTGATTTGATGGATGCTACACTTTCTGCTCACCAAGGCCGCCAGGTTGCCCTGCTCAGCAAAGTGGGAGTGCCCCCATCGACCCGCCTCCAGTCCATGAGTCTCCACACCCTCCCCTGCCTGCCTCTGAGCCAGCTTCTCGGTTATCCAGTGAGGAGGGCGAAGGCGATGACAAAGAAGAGTCTGTTGAAAAACTGGACTGTCATTATTCAGGTCATCATCCTCAGCCAGCATCTGTAAGTGCCATGTCCAGCCCGTGTTGCCCTCCCCCACAGTACGGACCAGGCACCTTAGAGGGCCCCAGGGCCTCAACACACCCATGCATGTGGGACTGCTTAGAGTATGAGCAGCTCAGAACAGGTGTCTCTGGGCGGTGGCACACGCTCTGTCTGGGAACTTCTCTCACTGGGGCACGACATTGTCACACATGCTTTGCAGCCCCTGGTACTCAGGGCAGCTGTCCTTCTAATAGCTCCTCTCTTGAAGAAGAAAGCACCCTGGCCAGTGTGCTGGTGTATAGAGTTTGTATTTGCAATCCCATGGAGAAGTTCCTGGAATTCTAGTGAGTTAATTCCAGTCTACCACTTCCAGTGCAACCCAAAGTAAGAATAAAGACACTAAGATATACCATACAGTTATGGGGAGCCAGGAGGTCCTAAATCCAGCCAAGATAGTGGTTCACCAAAACAAATGCCATGACCCAGGGCCTGACCCAGGTTTTATTAATTCTCTACGGAGGCAATGGCTTAGGGATGAGTATAGTGAATGTGGTGGGAAATACATGGATGCCATGAGCTGGGTGAGGTAGGAGATCACTTCTGCAAAATGTAGAGGGCAAGAAATGCAGAGGGAACAATCTGCATAACACAGTGGAGGTGGTATCTCTTTGGAGGTGATGTGTAATCCTTTATGCCTAGAGGTTGGAGCAACGCTCTCCATCTCTCCCACCTCAACCATGTTTTTCTGCTTCAAAGCTTACACATCAGCTTCTCAGCCAGCCCAGTTTACACTGCTTAAAGCCAGTTGAAGGGAAAAAGAAATGGCCCAGCCAGCTCTGTACATGCCAATACATGGAAACAGGGCCGAGGTTGTCTAAAATGGAGATAATTGTTCCTCTCTCAAGGAGAGCCCTCCCTGTGGTCCCCCACACTGGTGTCCTAGGCCGAAAGCACATGGCCCTGTTCTCTCTTCCAGTTTTGCACATTCGGGAGCCGGCAGATCGGTAGAGGCTATTATGTGTTTGACTCCAGGTGGAACCGACTTCGCTGCGCCATCAGCCTCATGGTGGAGAAGCACCTGAACTCGCAGCTGTGGAAGTGAGTGCCGGCAGGAGTGGGGGCGATGTGCAGGGGCCGTCTACAGCAGCCCTGGCTGGAAAGCCACCACCTCACCCACCTATCATTCTGGGGCTCGGGGTTCAAGGTGGAATTCCCACACGTAGACGTAGTTGGGAGTCGGGGGCACGGAAACCAGTCCACTGAAAAGTAAAACTGTCACCAGCTTGTCTTCAGGGAGCTGCTTGCAACAGCGACAGTCACTAACCCTGAGAGCTCCACTGCCAGGGACTTAGGGAACAGGCTTACTTCTCACGGTTATTTGCCAAGTGACTGATAAGTGTTTTAGACAGCGAGGCTGAGATACAGAGTCACATGTCAAGTTAGTGGGACAGGGCCAGGATTCAGACCTGGAAGCCCTTTTTTTCACATGAAGGTGTGCACTGGGAGAAAGACAGGCTGGGGCATTTGGGGAAAGCCTTGTACTGAGACCAGGGCTGGATCAGGAGCTCAGCATGAGGGTGATGTATGGGTTCCAGCTCCAAGGAACCAGACATGAAGCTCTTGAGGGGAAAGTGAAGACAGTTTGAGAAACAACAGGAAAGCAACTACGGTACGTGAGGAGGCCCGAGCCCTGCAGCTGCTGGGCTGGATGTGGATAGACTGCAGCAGGAAGCTCTTGAACGGTTTAGGGACACGGCCCTTGTTGGCAGTTTCGGACATCTTGTGTGACATCACATACACTGGCAGTGGTGGTGAACGCATGCACACACATGTCCCTGAGAGCGTTAGCAGGATCGCTGTTCCCGTGCTCTTGTTTCTGAGGAGTGCTTTGACTGGGAGAAGAGTCAGTCCCCTGGCCGGAAGCGCAGTCAGCCTTGCTTGTGCGCACGTGCTTTCCTTACTAAATGCCTCAGGGCCAGGCCAGGCGCTGTGCTTTGTCACTCAGGGCAGGAGATGCCCAGGCGAAGGTGGAATGCCTCCCAGACCATCCCGATCTGGCAAATGTTTTCAGAGAACAATTTGGAGAACGAGGGTTGGGAACCTAGCATGGTGAACCGTGAGCATTGCTAGCGGGGACTGTTGAGTTGCTCACTTCAGACTCATCCTTTGGGCTCGTTGACCAGTGCTTTCTTGAGTGGACTGTGCCAGCACATCCTCGCTTCCCTGCCCTTGTTTCCCCTCATCTGGAGTGGTCTGCAGCCCAGTGCCCCAGCTGTGTTCCTTTGTGTGCCACCTTTCCCATCTGCCAATTCCTCCTGCTGAAGGGCCTCCTCCCTCCTGATGGAGTGTGGCCCCTGCCCAGAGACAGAACTGGGGCTCGAGGTTCTCCCCACATCAGAACACCCCCAGACAGCTGGCATCTCACCCATGCAGAGTGCCTGGTGGTGGTGGGAGCTGTGTGCATCCTCACACAGGGGAGTCCTTGGTGTTGCTGTCCCCAGATGCATCAATGCGTGGTTCGTGTCCAGCAGTGAGTGAAGGTGCTCTGGTTCTCGTAGCATGTGGGAGAAGTTTTTCCCTCTGTGAGCTTTGAGGAAGCACTATCCCGAGATTCACCATGTGCTGCTCTGCGTGTCTGCTGGAAGCTGTCTTTTCACTTGCCCCAAGGAGGTAGAAGCGGTTTCTTCCACTCCTGGGACTTCTGATTGTTTTTGGTTTCTGTTTTCTTTTTTGTTGGTTTTGGCTGGTTGGTTGGTTGGACTTTTTTGAGACAGGGCCTCTCTGTGTAGTCAACAGTCTTCCTGCCTCGGCCTCCTGAGTAATAGGTTCACAGGCATGTACCACCACATCAGGCTAATGCATCTGTTCTGTTGTGCTATTTTATTTTGCTTTGTTTTTATGGGGCTTAAAGCAAGGGGCTCTGCACTGAGCTACATCCCTACTCCTTTTAAACACATTCCTGCCAGTTTGACCCACTGATGATACATTCATGACTGTCCCATTGGGTAGCTTATTACTTTTACTAGTAAAGACTGACAAGTTATTAAATTCACTTGTACCACCTGTGGCACAGGCTGCCTTATGGGACACCAGGCACGTCTAGGCTGGGCTCAGACTTGCAGTTCTGTCTCAGCGTCTAGAGTGCTGGGGTTACAGGCGTGTATCTCCGTACCCCACTGGACCTCTGGTTTTAAGTCAGTGCAACAATGACAGATGTATGTCACTCAACGAGAAGCTGATGCCTGGGTTTGAAGCAGATGGGAAGGTGGAGCAAGGCCACAGCCCCAGGAGCCATAAGATGCTCCCATTGCAGGGTGCCACTGCGGTGGCCATTCAGCACCCTTGGGATCTGCTGGAAAGTGCCATGCTTCTTGGCAGAGGGATACTCTTCCTAGATGGCATCTGGCATCCTCAAGGTGTTCACAGAAACTTTCACAGTGGCGCAGGTCCCGCCTCCTGCTCAGCACAGACTCTCGTCCAAGAGCAACTCTAGAGTAGCATCCCCCTTACCCCTCAGCCTTAGTGACTCGTGGGCTAAGTGGGTATGAGAAGGTAGTGGGGGTGGATGTGAAGTCCTCTTCCTCAGTCTGTGGAGTTCAGTGGCCATCAGGCCAGCATGTGGGACGTGGCCATGACCCAAGTGTCCTTCCAGGCACCTCTCCTTTCTGGGGCTGCTTACCTTCCCTAGAGCTGCGATCATGACCTCACACCTCCTGCAAGTGCCTGGAATGGTCCCAGTGGATTTTTGCTCATTTTCTTTTTAACTGTTCAAATTGGCAAAACATTCACTTGATCAAAAAACAAAAATTGAATATAAAAAGGCATAAGGTGAAAAGCCTTAATCCCTGTGTCCCCTGCCTTCCCAGTCGCTATCTGTCCCCCACAGACACAAGTTTATCTGTGCAGACAGAGGTCAGTGTGACTAAATACTCTTTTCTTTGCATACTTTTCATCAAAAGGTCAGTAATTGGAAGGACCAATAATTGTTGTACAATTGAAAGTAATTGTTGTTTTGGGAGATCTGTGGACTCTTCATTTCCTTCAGGTTTAGTTCCAGAAAATCTGGTCTTTGGGCTTCATTTTGTGAACCACCTGGGGCCCCCAGCAGCCCCTGCACCGTGAGCAGTGGCACCAGGACCTCAGTAACCAGCACCCCAATGCCTGGGGGCGTGGCATATGGGCCAAGGCCACAGACCCCAAGTTCCTAACAGGTCTCTTTGTGACACCTGTGTCCCTCCTCGGTGAGCTGTGTGGGGTAGGGCCCCACTTCGCAGTCTGGCTGCAGTTGGAGCCACTTCACATGACTCCCACAGCACCACTGTGTGTGTAGTTTACGCTCCGGGGCAAGTTCCTGGCGCGGCTGGAAAGGAGAAGGCCCTGAGTTCAGGCCTGCGCTGTGCTTGCCCCTTGCAACAGAGTCCTAACGCAGCTGCAGGCACTCCCAGTTGGTACTTCTTGTTAACTACTCACTGCTTCTCCACGTTGCTTCTGGAACGCCCTAGGCAGCGATTAGGCCAGCTAGGTCCCTAGAAAGCGGAGGCAGTAGAGCCCGGCAGGCAGAGTGTTTTGACAAGGGCTACCTAGGAATTAGAGCAGAGCCGGCTTGGCACTTGCCTTCTAGTCAGGCCCTTCTTCCTGGTCCATATCTCAGTTTGGTTTTTATTTTGTTAGGGGCTTTTTTGTTTTTTGAGCTTTTTGTTTTTGTTTTTGTCTGAGACTGTTGCCTAGGCTAGTTGAAAACTCCAGGCATAAGTGATCCTACCAAAGTACCTGGGGAATACAGGCACTTCCCTCCATAGCCAGCTGCCTCCTCAGCTTTATTTCTCCCCCAAATCGGAGCTAAAATACAAGGGGGATGTCCCTGGCTTAACAGTCTGAATGCTCGTTTTGTTCCCCCATCACATACCTTGCTCAGATGTTACAACACAGCTGAAACCCCCTTGTGCAGAGTATAGACCCACAGTTGCTATTGACTAGCTCCCCACTTCTCCTGAACCCCTCAGTATTTATGGAGTGTGCTCTCAGCACCAGGCTGCAGTGGACCCTAAGCTGTGGCTTGCTTAGTCTGGGAATGAGGGCAGTGTGAGTCTCTGGGGCTCTTCCCAGGAGGAGATGTCAAGTCCGGCCGAAAGCAGGAGCACGGCTCGGGTGGGGGTGGTCTGAGCAGAGGTGGTGGCATCTCCTGGGAATGGAACACAGAGCCGTGACTGGACTCGGGAGCACATGGGGCCAGGTGGAAGTGGGGGTGAGCCACACGCCGTGACAGTACAGCTTGCCAGGGCACATGCCTCGGGGCTGCCTGGATCTGCACTCAGCCCTTGGGCAGCGTGTGCCAGATCCTCCATCGGGTTTCTGGGAGCTGCGATACTGGTACCTCTCCCTCATTGCCTTTTCCTTGCAGGAAAATCCCGCCAGTACCCAGCACCACATCGCCTGTCTCCATGCGTGCTCCTCACCGGACAAACTCTGTGCCCACGTCACAGGGTGGGGTTAGCTATCTTTCAGCAGCCACTGTCTCCGCATCCCCTGTTCTGCTGTCCTCTGCCTGCATCTCCCCGAATAGCAAATCGGTACCAGCTCATGGAACCACGCTAAATGCGCAGCCCACCGCCTCCGGGGCGATGGATCCTGTTTGCGGCATGCAGTCCCGACAAGTGTCTTCCTCGTCCTCATCCCCATCCACGCCCTCCGGCCTGTCCTCAGTCCCCTCATCCCCCATGTCCAGGAAACCTCAGAAGTTGAAATCCAGCAAGTCTTTGAGGCCCAAGGAGTCCTCTGGAAACAGCACTAACTGTCACAACGCCAGTAGTAGTAATAGTGGCGGCTCAGGAAAGAAGCGCAAAAACAGTTCCCCACTGTTAGTCCACTCTTCCTCCTCTTCCTCCTCTTCTTCTCATTCCATGGAGTCCTTTAGGAAAAACTGTGTGGCTCACTCTGGGTCCCCCTACCCGTCCACAGTGACATCCTCCCACGGCCTGGGTCTCAGCTGTGTAACAAACCGCACGCACCCGGGGAGCCTCCGGCACGAGCAGTCAGGGAGGGGCCCCCCTGGTGGGAGCCCCACAGAATCCATCAAGCGCATGAGTGTGATGGTGAATAGCAGTGACTCCACACTTTCGCTGGGCCCATTTGTCCACCAGGCCAGCGAGCTGCCCGTCAACTCCCACGGCAGTTTTTCCCACTCACACACTCCTCTGGACAAGCTCATAGGAAAGAAGAGAAAGTGTACCCCTGGCTCGAGCAGCATCAACAACAGCAGTAGCAAACCCACGAAGGTTGCCAAATTGCCACCCATGAACAACGTCCACATGAAACACACAGGCACCATCCCAGGGGCGCAAGGCCTGACGAACAGTTCTCTTCTGCACCAGGTAGGACCCGGACTGGAGCCCCTGGGCCGCCCATGCCTGTCCCTTGGTTCAGTCGCCTGCCACAGATCTGTGTGCTTGGGTTAGTCGATTTGCCTGTGAACAGTCACTTCGGGTGTCTTCTCAAAAGGGGGCAGCGTCCATGGCATGGAAGGTAAAACAGGCCCACTCTGCAGGATTTCTGATGCCTGCCAGAGATGCTCCTGGGGGTAAGGAAGCTAGAAAATGCCTTCAGCAGACAGGGCTGAGGAAGGCACCTGGCATGACAGCAAGGCCAGCACTGGAGGTCCCACTCCAGAGCTGCCAGCTGCTGGCACTTCCCAGAGAGTGGCTCTGCAGATAGATGTTCCCGTGAAGAAAGTGGGGTGAAATCAGAGGGATCTAGAAGAGTCGAGTTAAGACTTAGAAAGCCTGTCCTGTTTTTCACCTTTAGCAATTACAGGGCTTGTGGTTAACTTTCACTTTGTATTTTCTCCCCTCTGTTTTCAGGGGTGGTAAGAAAACAGGGTTTGTATGGGGTACCCGAAGACTGAAACCTCATTCCAAGTTATTAGTTCATAAAAGAAGCGTATGGCGGGCCCTTGGTAGGAGGTGACAGAGGGGTTTGCGAATTTGAGATTAACCACCGTTTGTCCTTTTGCTTTCTCGTTGTCTTTCCCGATCTTCTTTGCTGCTGCCTTTCGTGCTCGCCTTCTCCTGCAGCTGTCTCTTCTGCCCCCTTCGCTCTAACCGCAGCTCATCTCTGCTCTTGTTATTTCATCCTTCAGGATATCTCCTCAGCTTGCTTACGAACAGGAATTTCAGCAGCAGCACCCCAGAGCCCTGACTTAAAATGTGAGGCTCTTTTCTACGTCTTTTCCCCTTTCCTTTCCTTCAGCACTTACCTCAAATGCCACATTGGGAATTTTTTAGAAAATACTGGGGAGTTTCTTACTGTTGAATAACTTCCCTCCAGTATTTTGTCATTTAACCAGTATGTCAGAGGTGTGGGGAGAATAACTGAATTTAAGTAGCTGCTTAGATTATGGGCTATCAGCATGTTGTCTGGTGTTTTTAAAGCGAGGTTCTTGGCAAAATGAGAATTGTGCTGTCCACCAAGTCCTTGACTTACAAATACCCACATGAGGAACTTGGGCAGGTGTACTGTATAAGACTCACTTGGTCAGCTCACAAGTGAGTCCAGCTTCCATGAACAGTCCTCCTGGGAGGGAGCTGTTCTGAAGTTGGGGAGGTACTCTGCTGCTTGTTTTGCAGTTAGCATAATTCGGTGGTGGCACAGCTATGGTACGTGTGCCACAGCAGGCTCACCACGCCTGGATAGTTCATGTTGGGCATGGCAGCGTCCAGTAGTACCCATCCCTTAAAGGTTGGCTGTGCATATGGTGCCCCAGTACACCTGGCCCTTCACCTCCAGGGGCTGTGATGCCCATCCCACATTCGTGTCACCACACACATACCATATCTCCGTTTAGACAGCAGTGTGTGCCCAGCTGCCCCAGGGAACAAAGAGAATGGTTGAGGTAGCAGAACAGGGCCAGCAGAGAGAAGTAACAGTGCTTCTGGAAAATTGAAGCCTATGCTCCCTGGTACTTCTGTTAGCAGTTTTACAGAAAAGCTGCGGATTTGGACTTGGATATGAAATGTAGGTACTTTTAGAAGCATATACATGGTGTGGTCCATTTGGCTTCCGGCCAAGTTTGGACTTATGACTGCCCAGGTAACCTCAGACATTCACCATCTGGGAGGACTAGTGTCCCACTGAACAGACCCACATCATCTAATGTGGGGATCTTTTCTTAGACCAGTTCGAACTTAAATTTGTGTTTGAGAACCCTTGCCGGTACGCATAGGAGTGCTGTTGGTTTCGCTGCACAAACCCTAGGGGACTATGGCTAGAGAGGAGGATGAGTGAGCCCAAGCTGTTCCACTTCCAAGGTTGCCTGTCTGCCGAAAGGAGCCTGTAGGTGCCGTGAGAGTGTCAGGGAATCGCAGTTCCGTAGTACTTCAAACAATGCTGCTCTTAGAAAGTAGAAGCATGACCTGCTGTTCTATGCACAGGAGTAGGGCCTTCTGGAAAGCTGGGTGTCTAGGCAGGTACCCCCGCCACCAGCCACTGTGCTATCATGGCTCCTGGTGAGCTGCTGCCAAGCCCGGCTTCCTGCCGCATGGGAACTGCAAGGGGTGCAAGCTGTCATACCTGTGTCTGCCAGCCCACGTGGCCTTGGAAGACTTTCAAGGATGCAGAATCAGAATACAGAGCCAGAAGGCAACCACCAGTCTTTCTCTAAATTAGCAGACCAGGCCTACATCTCCTCTAATCAGTTTTCCGAAAGTCAATCTCAAGAAATCTGTGTCCAGGGACAGCACAGGCTTGGAAGGCCAGGGCCTTATTCTGTAGCTGGGATCATAGCTCCATAGGGTATCTTGCTGGGGACTAGGGCCACGTACAGCTGCTAGCTCACTCTTCTTCTTTTCCCCACTCCCTCTGTTTTGAAAGCCAAAGGCGCGTCCCTGACAGCTGAGCACAGCACGGGGAGGAATCATCCGGACACTTTTGAGGACAAGTTGCACCTCCACTCAGCGCTCTGGACTCCCTGATGCCTTGAAGTCGTGTCCTGGCTTCCTTGGCCTCAAGGGCGCCAGCCAGGTGGCTGTTTCCCAAGGATCTCCCCGGAGCTATGTCTGCAGCAGTGAGTACTCGTAAAGGACACTGGATCAGGTCAGCCACCGGATTGCTGTCATCAGTGTTAAAGTGGTCTGGACTGCTTGCTACCAATCTGTGAGGAATTGTTGTTTTTGTCTTGTTTTTAACTTGCAGTATATCATGGAGCCACTCTTCAGGTTTATTGGCTGGGCAAGAGCGTTACTGTAGATTTCCCTTTCTCCCCCTCCCTGCAGATTATTTCAGCACTGACTTCTGTAGGTCACGTTGCAGCCGGTAGGCACCTTAGCTCTGGAGACAGGGCCCTTCCAGGGACCTTCCAGAGGACAGAGCGCCATGCCCTGAGTGACCTCTAGAAGAAGGGATACTGGCTTTTGACTCTTACAGCAGTGTTCAGAAGTACAGTATGGACATTGGTGCAAGATGTCGGGACAGACTCGCCCAGCCTTTTGCAAGTAATTTGAAGTAAGAAGCTACCAGAAGTTTTGAACTTACAAACTGCTTTGAAGCCACTGATGCCCAGGCAGCCAGTATAAAGCATAGCGGAGGCTAACTTTTCATGGTACAAAAGCAATTCTGTGTGATTTAAGAAAAGGATGAAAATGCAAACTAGTTTTGATAATGGACAGCCAAACTGGGGGAGGGGTCAGAATGGGAAGGGTAAAATCACAATGTTGTGGGGGTGGGGGAGGCTTCTATCAAGATTTCCAAAGAGATGGGATTTTCTTAGCCTTTAGGTTTTCTTGTTAAACCGTATGTCAGATTGGGTTGACTGTCCTACCCAGTGTTTTTTAAAGAATTGCCTTTTTAAAGTGAAATTATTAGGATGTACTTAAACATTTCCAAGGCATCACCCCCATCCTCTTTGGAAGTTGCCCTGGGAGTAAGTACATTTTTCTGCCTCCTGTACTCCTGGCTTGTGTGTGCCCCACCTGCTCTCAGCCACTGCTGAAGGTGACCTGGCTGCAGGTGGGGTGGGCAGCAGATCCCAAGGCAGAGAAGTGGTTGGGCACTGAACCTGCCTTGCGGTGCCCACCTGGAGGCTGTGGTGAGGTGTGCAGTGCTTGACCCAACCAATGCCGTTTCTTGGACTCCATGCCAGCTGTCTTCCTGATAGTGTTTTAGAGCCTCCCAGATATTCCGCCTGTGCCACACCCGAGGGGAAACTAAAGCAGTACAGCCTGAGGAGGTGCTGTTGAGTGCTGGGGTGACGGCCGCCACCACAGCTCCTAGGCTGAGACCCCAGTCCTCTGAGGAGAAGGCATGGAGAAGGCTGAACACAGGGTAGGATTTCAAGGCTCCGCTCACCGCCCTGGCCAGAGCCAGTCAGTGCAGCCTTTTTCCCTATAGTTCTTGGGTTACAAACTTAAGTTTCAGGGAATTTCAAGTCAACAACAGGTAGAATGAATAAATACTTGGTTACCAGCCTAATAATGTGAATTACTACAGAATTATTCTTATTACGTAAGAATACAAAGACTTTATGCAGATACTTTAGCTATAAATTGATGTAAAATATTGATTTTTTAAAGGAAGGGGCGAACAGTATCTTGTTCACTTATTATGCAATCAATCAGTAAATGTTTTTTAAAAGATACTATATGGAAGCTAGTAAGGAGAGAGCATGGATGGGCCAGTTTGGTGCAGAGAAATCAGTCTGGTTATCCCATTCCAGTAGGGGAGAGAGGGCTGAGAGGGAATCAGAGCGTCCTTAGTGATTCCTTGGTAACAAGTGCAATGGGTACAGGCAGAATTTACTTTCAGAGCCAAGGGGACTTGATGATGGTTATAAATTAAGTTGTTTTTAGTGATGGGATTTATAGACAGATCATGTTGTTCCGAAAGATGTGAATAGGATCCATGATAGCAAGCTGATTCAGGATAATGTAGATACTTAGATTAGAGAGTGCTGATCATTTGATTTCTTAGACTGAGGTTTTAATTGAATTTCATTATGTCTCCCAGTAATACACAGAACAGCGGGATTAGGAAATTAGCCATTTGGATTCTGCCTGCCACAAACAGACCCATTCTAAACAGTGCTATTAAATTTTAGACTGTTCAAATGTTTTATTTTCTCCAAAAACTACTTTTTATTATGACAAACAATTAAGACCATTTAAAAACACGGGAGTACAACTATTTTTTTGAATTAAATTAACTTACCAGAACCAAATTTGCAGTGGTTGGGTTGTTTCTAGACAGACTTTGGTATCAATTTAAAACCAAGATAATTTTTATATTCTTTCCAATAGAATTTCATGACAACTTCTGCAGTTTTCTTAGCCTACAAAAAAAAAAAAAAAAAAAAAAAAAAAAGTGCTGCAATGATGAACAAAGAATTATACAAAACCTACTTTTGTATCTTTATTTTGGGATTTCTTGTTCTATTATAAATATGGAAGTATCCCTATTTCAGAAGACATATTTTGTTAAAAATGAATTGTACATATTTAAATATGTATTTTTGCACAGGTCTTTTTTTCTGATATCCTGTTTTGGTACAATTGAGATCATCTAGTATTTATTTATTAATTAATAAAAGTAAATACCTTTTTATAATTTGAAGTGGTTCACTGCCAAGCCGATAGTTCTGGAACCCGCCTCCTTTACAGTTTTGGGGACTGCTCTGTGGAAGTCTCTGTCCCTTTAACGTCTCAGAAGTGGACTCGTCCAGAAGCGGGCATTGATTGCTTCTCCCCAGCTGCCTGATTTCCCAGTAGACTACACGTAACTAAGTGACACACTGCTTTTCTTCTGTTAGTGTTGTGTGTGTGTGAGTTTGTGTGAGTGAGCGTGCGTGTGCATGTGTGCCTGTGTGTATACACTCTGTGCACATGTATGTTACTAGTATGTGATACGATTTCAGACTAATGGAAAAAAACTGAAAGTGCCTGAACCTAGTTTTAAGCTTAGACAGATTCTCTTTTAAAAGACTTGAATGTTCAGTTGAACTTTTGGAGTTTGCTTTTTCCACCTAAATATTGTTTGTAAAATTTTAGGGGGGAGGAGTTGAAAACTACCAATGCTGGTGATTTTATAAGGTATTTTACAGTTCAGATCTTTTGGTTCACAGTACTAAGCTGGTAATGGGTTACCCAGTGACACCAAGGGTTCCAATCTCCTGTCCGCCAGCAGCTTACATTTGTCTGTTTTGTTACTCATGAAATACAGAGTTTAAAAGAGAACATTTAAAATATTTGTATTCCAAAAATATAACACAAAGAAGTACCTCTGAGAACATTGAAAAAAAATGTGTAATTTGAAAAAACGTAACTTACAAAGGCAGCTGTCTTCCTGCAAGAGAGTTCTGTTGCCAAGGAATTTCTTAATGTTTCATTCTGTCCTGGGGTGGGGTGGACTCTGAAAAATGATTGTTAAAAGTTTCATTGTTTAGAAGAAAATCATTTCTACATTTTGTGCGAGACATTTTACATCGTCAGATCATTTAAGTGAGCACTACATACTGTCAGTGTGAATGTAGGGCTTTTGAAAGCATCTTGCTGTTTTTGAGCTTGGTTCTAAAGCAATCTCCTGTGTTGAAATGTGTGAATAGTTTGATAATTTGTACACATAATCAAGAGCATCTCAGCTGGACTTGTGTTGGCTGCTGTATAGAACATGAACAAATGTCAAGGGATAGAAAATTACTTTGGATATTTAAAAGAGAAGAAATATATAGTCTATTTGTTTTGTAACAAGTTTCTGTAAATAAAATAATTTATACTATTTATAAGAAAAAGTTGTGCTTTGCTTTATGAGAAATTAGTTTGTGGAACAAACATGTTACTAAATGGGCAATAAAATTAGGACTTCTCAATAAATAAGGTTGGCTGCATGAAATACTGGACACGTTTCTGCCTCATTGTGCTACCCAACCCTCCTGGTGTAGTTGGCTTTTTTCCATTTCTGGGATCAGACACCCTTGCAAAAACACCATCACAGCCCTCTCCCGTACCAGCTCAAAACTTCCAAATGTTGAGGACGTTTCTGATTGTGGACACAAAGCCTCGCCTGGAATAAACGAAGGACTGCATCGTAGACAGTGGACGCTACTCTGTTCTGGCCTTTGGGTCTGTGATGGAGACAGGCACTGACAGCGGGAGAAGCGTATTCTGTTTGCACTTGCTGATGTAAACTTGAAGACCTGCAGTCAGGTAGGGTTAGATTTCGGGGTTGCTTTGGTTTTGTTCGAGTGTGTACCTCCCTTACTGGCGATATAAGTGCCTTTTAGTTAGAGCACAAGACAATCCTTTATTTCTAGGAATCTGGCTAGTTTTGCCATTTCAAAATAAATCAGGCAGTTGCATGGGACCACAGATACCGGGGTGGCTTAGGATTTCGAGGAATAGGCCAAGGGTGGACAACAGGGTAGGATTCTGAGTATCACTGCAGGGTTAATTCCCAAAAGCAGAGTGCTTGCGGTTCCTGAGAGAGGCTGTGCAGTGTAGGGAGAGCACTGGACCTGGGCCCCTTGAAGGCTGGTCTGACCACCATGGTTTACCTGCTGTGTGGTGCTTAGAGGTGAGAGGAGACGGAGACCACTGCTCAGCTCTAAGTGGACACAGGAGAGGACAGAGCTGGAGGTCTCTAATAGGTAGTGAGCACAGCAGGCTATTTCTCCCAGGTGGCATCAGGTTTGGAGAAAACACCTGGAGTAAGGGCGGAGATACAGTGGCCAGGAAAGTACAAGGGCCACAAACTGGACTTACCTTGGCTCCAGTTGCTGAGGATGAGCAGCCTCCAAAACACAGTAATGTTCATAGAATTGATATTCTGCTACTAAGGAAAAGCAGCCCACAGAGGGCTGGTGAGTCCCTGGCAGTGTTGGCTGAGTGGTCCCTCCCTAGGGCTCTCTATTGGCTGGTGATCGTTCATTGTCAGATCGTCGTCCATTTATCTCTTACCCGCTTGGACAGGGAAAATGATGCCATTACAGTAGATTTCTAAATTCAAGGAGGTCAGCTACCAACCTCGACCATATACTTCGCTGTCCTGTGGCTTGGACTGGAGTGTACATTGTATCTTTTGCATGTCTTCAGAAATGGAAAAATGATGTACATCTGTGGATCCATGGCTAAGAAACTGCAACTCATGGCTGGCAGAGCTCGTGTTTTCGAGATAGGGTCACACGTCCCTCCCCACAGCCACTGCAGAGGGGTGGTGGTTCCTAACCATTACAGAGACAGTAGCCCCCTCCCGGGCCCCAGCCCATCACACGGGCAGGTAGGTACCAGCTATTCATCATCCTTGTTCCAAATAAAAATGGGAAATGGCATTGAGAATTAATTTGGAACTTGAAGTCATTATTTGGTTTGTTGATGATTGTGAATGTCTGGTCAGGTGACCACAGCCTGAGCCAGTTTGGTTGGGAGTGGTCCACATGATCAAGAGTCCCAGTCGGCATCCTGTCACTTGGGTCAGGTCAGAATGGATACAGGACGTGAACAGAAATGGACTTTAGACCATGTTCATATTTCTAAAAATTACTTCTGGTTAGTATATTAAAAAGTGATCCAAAGCTGTTGTTCTGAAGTAGCAAAACACTACCGTAATTTTATAGAGCGTTTAGGTAGATATTTCTCTTACTGGAAAGATATACTTGATAAGTCAGAATTTTATTGAGGGAAGAAAAACTAGCATTACTTTTAAAAAATAATCACAAGACTTCATTTCAGTGATTCTCTTTCATACTGGGATAGGGTATCGTGATGACACAAGGGTTGACTCAAGTGCTAAGTGTTTTGATCTTATTTCAGTATTTACTCATTTGACTAAACCAGGCAAGACTTTCGAGGAACACCACGCGTAAATGAGCCAGTGCAGCCAGATGAGCTCTGAAGCCAGCTTGAGCTGCTGATTCCTCGGGAGGGAGGTTGCTGACTGCCTTACTGCTGTGTGCGGTGCCAGGCCCACTGGTCATTTAGCTGGACATGGCATACACTAGGGGGAGCTCAATCTCCCTATTTTTCTAGAGGAACTATGTATTTTTTTTTAATTCGCAACTTTTAGGTGGTGGCCATGAGTGCATTTTGAAGGAGGTGTATCTGGAGGGGTGAGCTGCAGACGGCCAGAGGCCAGTCTGAACCTCCTCTGCTTTCCTAGTGGTAGTTTCTCTGCGGGAAGTCAGGGTTCTGGATCTAGAATGTCCTTCAAGACACTGTCAGGTTTAAAATACTGTAATTATGTGACCAAAAGGCAGGAAACCCAAGGATTGTAATTACTATTCTGTGTAGTCTTGCTTCCATAAACCAAAGTTTGTTAAGAATGTAACTTAAATGAAACTGAATTTTAAAAGTCTGAAATTCTGTCAGCCCTGTAACCATGGGGCCAGTTCAGTCATCTAACAGCCAGCCAGTAACTCTACTTAGCGCTCCTCGGTGTGGCCAGAAGTGCATGGTTTTGCACACTGCTGACCAGTTTGTAGTGGGCCTCACAATCAGCCCAGTGGCAGCCCATTTTGTAGATGAGGAAATAAACTGAGGCAGGGGTTTGGGGGCTGGGACTGGAGGGTAGCTTTTCCAGCTGTGGTGCTGTCTGCCCTGCTCCAGGTTTAAAACAAGGCCTGGAGGCTCCATTGCCTCCAGATAAGTCCTGAGCTGGGGGATTGCTGCTGGCAACTGGAGTTAACGTACAGAATGAGCAGAATGTAACAAGAGCACCAATTTTATATTAAAAATCACACAAATACTACACAGAGAAAATATCCATCAAAATGCTAGTGGAAGTCATCTCCGGAGAAACTTCAAGAGCAATTTTAGCTTAACTGCTTGAATTCCTTTTGCTGTGAGCCTGTTACTACTAATTTAAAAAAGAAAACGTGCCCCGCATAGTTGTATTGTTGGTTTTGTGCGAAGGTGAGAGGTGTCCTGCTGGAGCCCCACCGCCAGCTGGGGACTGGGGATGTCGAGGTTCCTGCTGCTCACTGGAGCACAGCAGCACGAACGAACTGGTGTTTCCCTCAGGATGTCGTCAGCCTTATTGTCAGCAGATGGGCCGAGGCAGGTGACCGATGGACAGATGAGCAGGTAGAGGACAAAGCAGAGCACCTTTCCAGCCAGGAAGGAGCAAGCCTGAGGCCTCCCTCTACGGCCATGTAAGGGCTCAGCTTTGCCAGAAAAGCCATGGCGGCTCTGTAACCATTTTGGGCCAAATGCTTACCAAGTGGGAGCTGAGGGGAAGGGGGTTTCACAAACCGACACCTAGCTGTGCACAGTGGAATTGTGCATGCCAGGGCAGCCTCAGTGACGAGGGACCATCCCAAACAAGAAAAAGCTGAGCTGCAGAGCCAGTCTACTGAAACAGAATTCTGCCGATTTTAGGAAAGTTTTCTGTTGTCGTTGGTTTGCTTTAGGAGACAAAGTCAGGCTATGTATTTTAGGCCAGCCTTGAACTTACTATGTAGCCCACTATGTGATCTTAAAAGTGACAGCAATCCTCCTGCCTCAGCCTCAGCCTCAGCCTCCCAAGTGCTGGGATTACAAGTGCACCGTCATGTTCAGCTTTTTGGGATTTTTTAGAACTCTGGCTGTGTAGTTCAGACAGGCCTCAAGCTCACTGTGATCCTCTTGTCTCAGCCTCCTGAGTGCTGGGATGTTCACCAACATACTGAGCACTTCTGCTAATTTTAAATGGATACAAGGAACACAGTCCTCCACAACTTACCTGTTGGACTTAAAGACTGTATTCACTGATTATAGCACTGACATTCACAATTCTTTTAAGAAACTCTAGTGACCACGGATAAGGCTTACTGGTCAGTATCTTCAGAAAGCTGTAGGTGGCCAGCCTCAAACGCAGCATGAGCACTGAAACCCTCCCTCCCTCCCTCCTCTGAGCCCAGCTGCTGCAGACATTAAATATGGGGCTGTTGTATTCACTTTACTAGAGTTCTATCATGAAGAAATGCCACACTGTGCCCAGTGATTTCCAGCCAGGTGACATCACTGTGCTCCTGTTACCAGATCAGTCCCATAACAAGGAAACACACCAAGTCAAACCCCAAAGGCTCTTCCTTGCTCCCCTGCCTCTCTCTCTTCAACTTACACCACAGGCTGGGCTCCCCCTACTCACTGCGGTCCTTTGGCAAATGGGACCCCTCTGTGTCTGGCACTGCGGGCACCTGCCTGGCAGGTGGTGCTCGCTCTCCTGAAACGTCAGCCACAGCGGACTTGCTAAGTTTACACCTGGGAGAACGTTAAGATTTCTTCATTGCTGCGGTTATGGTGTGGTCCTGTTTCTGGGGAGAAAATTATGTTGCTAGTACATCAGTGTTAGAAACCTACACTCACTAAGTCATACTCCGGAATCTAACACCAGTCTCCTAAAAGCTGGTAGCGACCAGTCTCACAGTCTCTTACTTCTTTCGGAGGCTTGGTGCGATTTCATGTGCCTTTCATGTGCCTTCCACTTCCTAGGTAGGAGACAATACTGGGGGTGGCTGCACCTTGTTCTCTTTCGAAGAGGTGACAAAAAGGTGATGGAAACCTGAGCGGGGAGCTGGAACTGACCAGGTGCTCACCATCCCCAAACTCTACCAGGACAGGGAATGCTTTCATGAGTAATGCAAGAGGCATTTTAACATTACCCACTCCATCCTTAAAGCGATGTATTTGGAAAAAAAACAAACTGGGAAAAACACAATGTAGTATTTATTTTACACAGCTGAGCTGGCATGTGGTGAATGGGCTACCCCACCACAGAAGCAGCTGTCTCTTCTAAAGGAACTCCTTCACTGAAACGCTTTTACATGTTGATTACTCTGGAAAGCTTCTGAACTCTGTTTAGCAGCAGATCTCCTTTCTTGATCGTTTCTTGGTACTGCCAGTTCTTGCTATCAGGTCTATGAATCAATTCCAGAAAAAAATTAAATTATTTCATGTCACATTTCTCCACGACAGTAGCTGACTTGCTTTTCTAAGAAGGCATTTTTTTTTGGTCTTTTTCCTTTTTATCGGTACCGGGGATCGAATTCTGGACTGCCTGCTTGCAAGACAGGCGCTTATGCCGCTGAGCTAAATCCCCAGCCCCTCTAAGAAGGCATTTTAAAGTGCCCCTTCCTGGGACAGTTTAACAGACAATACACAGAATGAAAGTACCTGTTGGTTTCTACTATTTCGTTCACTTTATCTATTTTGCAGTGCAGTCTCCCCGCAGCAATAAACCTTGACAGCTCCCTTCAGAGAAAGAAAAAACTCAGCATTAGCCTCATAAAGGACCCCCAGGGAAACAGGGCACTGAGGTGCAGCTGTATTTCAAGGTAACCCTGTCCCCTGCAGCCTGGGCTGCTGCACACGTGCTGGCGGTGCACGGCCTCTGCTCGGACCCTTGGCTTTCACCCGTGGGATTGGGATGTGTGTGGCTAACGGCCACAGTGCTGTACGGAGAGAGTAACTAGAGATGTCAGGAGGAAGAAGCTAGCAAAGCCCACCAACAAATATGCAGCTCAAAGCAAAGACTCGTAACACCATTCCGCGGCCCAGCTAGGCCTTCGGTCACTGCCCCCCTCTTTTTTTTTTTTTTTTTTTTTGTCTTTTTCATTTTTATCGGTACCAGGGATCGAACTCACGACTGCCTGCTTGCAAGGCAGGCGCTTATGCCACTGAGCTAAATCCCCAGCCCCAGCTCTCAGGGCCAGGCCACTGTGCTACATTGTTCTGCAGAGGCCACACCTCTCCCCAAGCTGTCGCGGAGACTCAGCACCACACTCTAAGCCAGCTATGCTACCTCGTACTGTGTTCCCACACAAACTTCCTGTCCACCTTCCCCGCCACCCCATTGCTGCCTGGCCATGCCTTCGTCTTCTGAACACAAGGCCAGGCCTGGCTCCAGACACAGGCCCCCAGCGTGTGCGTGGAAGAGCCCACAGGGCAGCGCTCAGCGTGGGCCTGAAGCAAGACAGCGCTGTGTCCTCTGCAGGCTCCTTCCGCTACGGTGACCTTTCGTGTGTATCTTCTCTTCCATCTCTGCCTGCGCTACAAAGAAGGCGCATGGAGAAGGGAACATACAAACTGGCTCCACATCTGTGGAACTATCTAGCACTTGGGCGAGAAGCCCCACCACGGGACCAAAGTGACAGCAGCCACTGAAAAACTTCAGGGAGGAAATCTAAAAGCCATCCCTGCAACTGCAGTGCGGTCCCTAAAAGAACTTTTGGCAACAAGTGGTTGTCAGCACTTCCTATCGATTAAGTTCTCCTTAACCTGCTTTTCTCACCTGGCAATAGAAGATGAGGCTCTGAGGAAGCTAGAGATGACACACATGACTATTCTGATAAATAGGAGAAAGAGTTCTTGTTTCCCTGACCTAAAACTGAAGGAGGCACTACAAATGGGAAAATGTAGAAATGCTCACATTTGAGGGCAGCTCTATGGCATAAGTTAACATGAAGCTAAAGCTATGTAAACTTACTGATCAATGAATTCCACACCGACTCCGAAGGCTTCTGCCATGTAGCCGAGGGTCAGTGACCTGTAAGACTCCAGCAGCTGGCTGTAGGCATGGATGCGCATTTCTCTCACATAGTACCGATAATGAGGAGCGAAGAGCCAGTCCTTTTTCATTTCCTGCTCCACAACAGCTGCAACGAGATGACAAGTGACCAGACTCTCCATTGCAAACGGATGGCAGATCAAACCACTCAGCAGCTGCCTGCGTGCAGTGCCCTCCCACCCACAGGCACGCACAGGGCACAGCCATGGCGCTGTGACAGCAGAGGACCCAGCTTCACCGTGAGAGAAGCCTGCCACAGCTGGTGGCCAAGCTGAGACATTAAGAATTCCGCCAGGGGACTTCCTGTGTCCCTACGTAACACTTTTACCCTCTTCTCTTTTACCAAATTCTAACACAGAAACAGAAGGTACAGTGACAAATGAAAAAACACCAGAAAGAGAGATAAATCAGTTCTGTTTTTTTTTTTAGTTCAACTTTTTTCCCATTACTTTTTTTTTCCAAATTAAATAACACATTTTTTAAAAAGTTACAAAACACAAGCAATATAGGGAAATAACCAATGAATCCTCTTGCTGGAAATTAAGTAGTTTAACAAAGCAACTTTAAGACTTGAAGATATATATCTGTAACAAAAAACTAGTAGCTGTGGGCCAGGGATGTAGCTCCATGGAGAAGCAGGAGCCTACCATATGCCAGGGTTCCGGCAGCCCCAGCACAGTAAAAAAACACAGGAACAAAACATGCAGTTGCTTTTAAAAAACAAAAAAAGACAGAGAAAGTTAACAGACTTAACCTAAGAACTCTTATCTTTAAGAAAAGTGACCAGTAGGTTGTTTGCAGGATAGCAAATGGGCAGTCCACACAAGTGCAGACTATTTTACTCATACAGCATTGCTTTAGGGAGGGCACAATACAAAAGACAAGAGCTCTGCTGCCAAAAATAAAACTTCAAAGAACAGAAATGAAGAGTAAGATAATTTGCAGAACCACTGCAAGAAATTTTGTGGAGGTGGAGACCAGGGGCCTCACAGGGCTGAGGCGGCCGGAGAGTGCTGGGGCAGGAAGGCAGAGGCTGACCCAGGAACCGAGGGGCCGATCCCACAGTGTGCCCGGTGGGGGACCTACAAGGACACAGGTGGGCCAGAGACAACGGAGGTGAACAAGGCGGGACTCCCAGGGAGTAACTGTAGTGGGCAGGCCAGAGCAGGCCTGGGTTAGCACTGCTCCGGTGGAAGAGGCGAGCATGGGGCTGGTGCTCTCGGACGTCAGAGTCGATGTCATCCCTGTGTCACCAACAACAAAATGAAGACAGGAGTCAAGGGCAGCAGGGCTGGAGAGAACAAAAGCATGGCACATGGAACCGAGGGGATGAATCATCAAAGCAGGGGGCTGCCTAAAGACACACATCTGGGAACACGTACCCAGTGGGCACTGAAGACAGGAAGTGTGCAGGACGCTAAGTGCACGGGACCTCGGGCCGTTCCTGTCCTCCCTGACCAGCCGGCAGGCGAGGGACAGGCTCTCCCAAGCGCTAGATGCATCCCTTGGGTACATCTCCCAAGAAACAGGAGTGCTCCAAACAGTGTGGAGGACAAACAGTACCAGAGCGGCCTGAGGGGCACACCTGAGGGCACACTGCAGGGCTCAGGTGCCCTGCTAACACTCGGACCAGAAGGCCGACTACAGTGACATAGAACTGTCTTCCAGACTACGCCAACAGGAGGAAAACCTAGGCAGAAAGCAGCATGTGAAACACACTGGCCGTGCGTGTGTGTGTGTGTGTGTGTGTGTGTGTATGTGCACATGTGTGCACGTGTGTGTGAAGTCGCCACACCTGTGTCCTCAGCTGCAGGGTGAGGGCAGCCGCCTCTGGAGAAAGGACGCTGGCCAGGGCAGGCCAGTGAAGGCTCTGTGGGTCCTAGGAACCGGGTCTGTAAAACTATAGATCAGAGAACAAAAGGGCCCGAAGGGCAGACAACAAAACAGTGACCAGTTACTCCCTAAAGTGTGTTGTTTGAGTAAAAGTGTGTACAGATTGGGGAAGCTGGATATAATATTTTCACTTTCTTGGTGTAGTTTTAACTACTAAAAACAATCAGATCACCCGGCAAAGAAGGTGACTTCCTGTTTCAGTTGAAGTATCTTAAAACACATTATCCTGAGAATTTGGGAAAATCTTACAAAACCCAACAAACCCCCATGTCTCACTGTGATCTGCACTGTAGGTCAGTGCTCACTCGGTCATCGACTTTGCTGTCTTCTGCACCTAAAGTACCTGGGACATGTCTCAATGTAATAGATAAACTTTCTGAGCCAGGCACACTGGTGCAGTCCTGTAATCTTCACACTCAGGAGGCTGAGGCAGGAAGTCTGGACCAGCCTGGGCAACACAGTGAGTTCAAGGCCAGCCTGAACTGTACAGTGAGACCCAACACCTGTGCTATGGCACTGGGCAGGCAGAGAAGGCCACGGGCCGGGGAACCCCAGTGGCTGCTGGCACAGGTGCGTCCCAGGAGGAGGGAGGCATGGCTGCCCCTGCAGTGACCAGGATGCTCTGACTCAGTGACCAGGGCTGCACGGCCTTGGCCGTGTACCGGACACCCTGCACTGCGCACCTCAAACCTCCAAATCACGGTTTACAGCCCAAGTTTGCAAAAAGAAAGGGACACGCCATTAGGACTCTGGGCGTGAGAAGGAAGGAGCATGCTCCGAGGGAAAAAGGAAAGGCTCCCCATGTGATTGAGCAGTGACATGGGCCAGGGCAGTTCTGCAACATGGCTGCGGGGCTGAGGCTGGAGACCACCTCCCTGCCCACATCCCCAGGGCGACTGCTTAAACCCCACGGGACAGTCAGAGAATCCACCCTCCCTATAAACTTCAGGAGACCAAGGAGCGGCCCTGAGTGCAGTGGGACACGAGCTGATGCTCCTACGCCATGGTCATTCCAGTCATTCCTAGGAAACCAAGGGCCAAGGAAAGGGGATGGAGAAAAGTCCATCCGCACGGGAGGATGGGTCAGCAAGCTCTGCAGGGACTCAAGGACGCCCCAGACTGTGTCCTCCACCCTTGAGGCCCTGAAAATGATTTGTAGGTCACCATGAAGATTTGCCTACTGCATAAACAGTAACTGTCACTGGATTCGGGACTGAATCTCACTGAAGACACACACAGCCCCCTCGTTTTACAAAGCTTAACACAACCACTGATCGTGTGTGCCTGTGCCCTCTAGGCTCTCAGGGGCAGCCTTCCCATCGCAGGCCTGGCACTGAGCGTCCTCAGGCTCTCTGCACCACCTGGCCATCATGTGGGCTGCTTCCACTCCTTCACACAACACGCTATGCGTGAGCGTCACCCCACTCTGCAGGCTCTGCAGGCTCGTCTGCCGGCCTCCCCCACCCCAGCAGAGGAGTAACCTCCATGAGAAAGCCCCTAGGTCCCCACCGCGTCCCTCATGAAGGGAACGGGCAGCTGTGGTGACTCGAAGGCGACCCAAGGGAACAGCGCTCTACTTACCTAGTGACTGGAAGAAAACCGAGTAGCGGCATTCGTAGAGGGAGAACAGGTACTGCCGCACCGCGGGGAGGCTGTGCAGCACCTCCAGTATCTCTGCTCCCTTAATGACCTATGGGGTTTTCCAGAAACCAAACGGTTAAGTCACTCACATGAGGTTACACGGCACCTGGTTCTCCACGACAGTCAAAACGGAAGTCAAGAGCCAGGTGAAAGACCAGCGTTAAGAAATAGGCAGGTAGACCATGGGGACACGGGGTGCAATCGAGGTGCAATGTTTGCGTGGATCCATCCCCAAAACCCATGTTAGTGAATGTTTTCAAAACTGACGTGTTTTCTAAATAATAAAACGAATCAGGCCCATCCTTTCGTGATCCTGGTGTGGCCAGTTACCTTCTCCCTGAGGTCCGGCCTTTCTAAGGCAATCATGCTGACGTAGACGGTATAGGTCACGAACGTCTTGTAGTCCATGAGTTCGTAAGAAGTAAATGTCGAAACAGTGTCCAGGAAGAGCTCAGCTGCCTGTTTGAAGTCTCGGATGGCCACGCAGTAAAGACCCTGGTACACTTTGAGGCGGTTCCTCCTGTCCCAGTCTCCTCCTTCCTCAATTAAGCTATGAAACAGAGTAAAGTCACAACTTGGGAAATCAATGCTGCAAAATCTGCAACAACTTCGACAATCAAGTATTTTACTGAACTCCATCAACTGTCTTACTGAACCTAACAGCTGTGAATGAAAGAAAATAGGCAAATCAGTTCTCACTAACAGCACTGTGTCAGGGGACAGAAGCCCTCTCCACTGGAAAATACCTTTTGGCCTTTTCTGTGTTCCGTGTGATAAGATCATTATCCATGTAAAACAGACCGATCCTCAGGAGATAGAATACAATATCCAGCCGGTGACCGAGGGCCACGGTTTTGTCGTAAGTCTTTCGAAAGGCTGTCAGAGCTCCCTCCTGCCAAAAGAGTTAAGCACAATGGTGAAGGCCACAAGACGCCCACCTGGGGTTCTCTTCCACGAGCTGGGGAGCAGCAGCAGAGATAAAACACAACAGTCAGGAAATGCTGATTGTTCTTTCCACTTATAAAGAAATGCCTGGTGTTTGCTTATATTCTAAGAAACGACGTGAGAGAACCAGGGATCATTTTCTTACACTGGTAAAGCTACTCTTTGTCTCACATGGTCAGTGGTTTGGCGACTGCTTCCAAGTAACTTTAGTGTAAATTATCCATTACTGTCATTCTAAAACTAATGGGAATGTCATTTCAGTCAGTAATTCTTAGACTACAACTAAATATGTAAATATATGTTTCCGACTCAAAGCATAGTGGAATAAAATGATCCTAATGTTTTACTACAGAACATGAATAAAATCACTTGTTTATACTTGGTACTTCCCAGAAGCTGGGTTGGCCGGTTTGTTTGTTCTTTGTTTTTTAGAGACAGAGTTCTCTGTGTAATCCAAGATCCTCCTGCCTCAGGCTCCTGAGTGCTGGGATTTGTGTCACTACACCCCGCTTGGTTTATTTTATGAATTAGTTCTGCTTTAGATCATGAGATTAAAGTACTATCCTCCACTAAAAGAAACCAGGGACCGTTAACTGGCAGGTTTGTGACATCCAGTGGCATCAAAAAATAAACCAGATCCTGTCAAAAGGACAAAGAAGTTTCTACCAACAAGTTTGCAACAACTGCAAAAGAATAAAAACTATAAGTGATGATAACACAATAAAAACCCATGAAAGTCTAGTAGGTGTTTAGTAATAACCTTTTTGTAGGGTACTCGGAATCGAACTCAGGACCTCGTGCTTGCCTGGTAGGCACTGTCTGCTGAGCTATATGCTAGCATAACATTTTTATTTAAAAAGAATAAAAAAGGGACCATTCTTTTAAGGAGAATGATAATCACTTACCAGTCCAATGATTTAAATACAGAATTAGCAGAAATTGTAATTTTTCTCATTAATTTTATAACAAGAAATACAAAAACAATAATTTTATCAAATTTATTCAATACAAGAACCAAGTGGCTGCAGTGACAGCTGCTCCAGTGATGCTCTGGACAGCACACACATAGAAAGGCTGCCTAGGCGATGCTCAGGGTGAGCTGCTCCGTGGTTAACAAACCCAGAAGGCTACACACAACCACTCTGCAGCTTGTCAGTGCTGACTCCAGCATGCTCTTACTGGAATTCACACCTAAGTCAACAGCCTTCAGTCTGCCATTCACATATTCCTTACTCTAAGACCCAAATCATACAAATCTACAGCCTAAAAGTAAATCAAAACTATTATATTTCACTTTCCCGCATTTTCCAGATCTTCATGATGACCAAACCTTACATTGATAATGACAAGAAAAACACCTGTTTTAAATTTGAATAGTAACGACATTTAAGCACTTATTGGTATAAACCTTAAATCTCAGTTCTTTGCCTTTATCGTTGTCAGCATTAAGTGGAAACCACCACTATCCCTGTTTGACAGATGAGAAAACTGAAGGTTCTGTAAATCACAATTACTCGGGCTGGAAACAAAAGTCAGGTAATTTGATCCAAGAACTTACACTGCTTAATTTTGTATACCAACACTGTATCATCCTACGTCTAAATCCTTAAGGCTAATACTACTTAAAATTAGAATATTTAGAGCCCACCCTCTTAAACAATTACACAACTACTGAATTAAAAATGTTAAAAGACCCAGGACTGGCAGCACACAGGAGGCAGAGGCTAAATGACTGCTTGAGTTTTCTGCCAGCCTGGGCCACATATCAAGACTGGCACAAGCGAAAACCCCAGGACTGGTGAATGCCACAAAACACACACAGTATGGTAAAACAGAAGCTGCTTACTGTCCCAGCAGTCTCACTTCATAGATTAATTGGTATCCTAGGAAAATACTCACATATGCACATAGGGAGACTCAAGCTTTTTCATTTTTTTTGCAACAGTATCAGCAGTTAAAGCAAAAGCAGCTGAACAACGTTCACATCCATCAACAGCTAGCCAAGCTACAGAAGACATACACTGGACACACACACTACAGAAGGCATAGTCTACACTCGAATACCAGGCACCGGTTAACCAGAATAAGCAAGATCTTCATAGGCTGACAAGGAAAGTCTCCTCAAATATAATGCCAGGTGCGCACGGTAAACAGGACCTACCTGAGAATATTAGGATCCTAGGTATGTTTCAAAAATGTTTTTCAATACTACTCATTTACTACAGGGCATATATATACATATATACACAAACAAATAAAAGCACAATAAAAGAACTAGTGCGGTTACCCCCAGCAATGTAAGGAGTAAAGATCAACATTACTTTTAGTTGCTACTAGTGCCAATTCTTAAAACGCACCACCACTAGAGCTGCTGAGGATGAACCCCGGTTTTGCGAAAGCAACAAATGAATAAAAACCTCTGCCCGTGCAGTTATGCTTTCAGGGAGAGGAGAGCGAAAACAACCTGGCTCTCCGAGACAACTCTGGGTTACTTCTTTGCTCCTCGGTGCAGGACTCGCTAGTTCATGCAAGCACGACCACCCTCAGAAAGTTACAGTCCAGTCGAACCTAACCCAGTATTAATTAGACTCCAGAAGCGGACCTGGCGCTCACCTTGTCCCCGATCCGGCAGAGGTACTCGGCCTTTGCCATCATCGCGTCTCGAATCTCACTCTCGCCAAGATTTTTTTCTGCATCTTCTAGCTCCTCGTCCAAGCGTTTCAACTCTTCTTCGTTCGCCTTCTTCATCTTGCTGACCAGGTCCGCGTCTACCTGCCAGTCCAGCGCCTTGCACAGGGCTTCGTAGTACGGGGCCATGTCTGGAAGCCAGAAGCAGGGGTGTCGGGGTTAAGGCGCCCAAATCTTGGGGCGCTCGTCGCCCGCCTCCCCGCCCCGCCGATCCTCGCCCCACCCCGCCGCAGGGGTCCCCGAGGGGCCGACGCCCCTGCCCGGGAGAGGCCGCGGGACCCGCAGGCTGCGCCCACCGACGGCCTAGGCCGCTGACTAGGCGCTCACTGTTGTCGCGCACGGCCGCCATCAGCTCGTCGCGCACCGCCGCATCCCCGCGGTGTTCCGGCAGGCTCAGCAGAAAGCGCAGCTGCGCGATGCGCAGGTCGGGGTTCTTGGGCAGACCCTCTTCCTCCAGATTCTCCAGCGGCATCGCGGCGGCGCGGCGACTACAGTTAGGTAGCACACAACCCGGCTTCCTACAGACGGTAGCGGAAGCGGGAGGAGTCGACGAGGGCGCTCCGGGCCACCTCCGGCCCACCTCCGGCCCGGCTTCCGGTCACATCCCGACCACCGCCGCCGCCGGCGCCCTCTACCGTACACTTTCGTAATCGCCTCTTCCCGGCCGGAGCGCTTGCGCCCCCGCGTGGCAACCAGCGGTTTTACCTCGTCCAAGCAACTGCAGGCGAGGGCAACCAACTTCAAAGTCTGAATGCTTGAATCTATTTTTAGCTATTTTTACTTGTCATTGCGTTAGTAATTCAAAAGAGCTGGCAAGCTTTTAAAATATTGAAAATATAATAAGCGTGATAGTAATGATAAAAACAACCACCACATTGCGAAATACCCTTATTTTAATCCTTTTAATACTGTGAAGTAGTGCTGTAAGCCTTTTTTTTTGGATCGATCTCACAGCTTCGCACACGGCATTATCACTTCCTTCACACACAAACCTTTACACGCCAGCAGTTCCAAATCCTTTGCTCCTTTCTATACAGATGCTTCGGAACTGGGAATGGTTGCACAAAAGCTCTTCCGGCCGTAATTTCCTTTTATGATTCTATTAGGAGTGACCTTAGGCTAACCACTGTGTTCATTTTCCTAGTATGAAAACCTTCGAATGCATAAATCGTTTTACATTTTGAGGTTTTCTTCTCATCATGAATTTCCATGCAAGAATAATATACAATGGAAGAAAAAGTTTTGCGACTTTTGAATATTTCCTGTCAAATTGTTTCCCAAAAGAGAAGAATCAGGTGACTCAGCCACTGAAAAAGCTGGGACTCTCACATCTCACGGGCATTAACCATTGCTAAATTTAAAAATATATGATTTTGTACAAAGTAAGTAAGCATCCTGAAGATAATTAAAATGATAGAAAAATATAAAGAACCCAGAAAAATAACTTGCATTTCACCACTGTTAAACTTTGCTGAAAAACTTTCTAAGTATCTTTCATTTATTTATTCAGCAAACATGATTACGTGAATACAAACTACTAGATACCAACTTAGGCATTAGAGAGATAGCAATGAAGACTACAAGGCCTCTGTCTTGGGAAATCACCTTGTATAGAAGCACCTGCATAAAAAGCTGCCTACCAATATTTACAGGATCTTTCCACACTTGCACTAAATTTTTAAATTATTTTGTGTATTCCACCATGCTCTGTGACCATCTTGCCATATTAATAAATATAGACTGACCTTTAGAATGCTGCTGTGTTATGTGTCAACATTTCACCCATCTGTATTCATGATGATCAGTATTGATTGTTGACTTGATTGGCTTGAGAGAAGCCAGGCAGATTAGTAAAGCACAATTCTAGGTGTGTCTGGGTGGGCCATGGGGCATGACCTTGGTTGAGGACTGTTCTGGCTCCTGGTCCCTTCTGTGACTCTTCCTCTGCTCTCTGCTTCCTAAACACCATGAATCGTGAGCAGCTCTGCTTGGCCACACCCTTCTACCATGATGTTTCTGTTTTGGAGCTGCCCACCATGGAGTGAACCTTCTGAAACTGTGAGCCAAATTAAACTTCTTCTCCTGTAAGATTCAAGTGTCAGGGATTTTGTCCCAGCAATGGAAAAACTCATCAATACAACCCCTAACTGGGACTGTGTTCATGTTTTCACTCTTATGAATGCTGCAGTGGCAATTACCTGTGTGCATTTGTATTTTCATACTTGAGTAATTATTTCTTAACAAGTTCAATTACTAAATAAGAAGGCAGAAACATTTGAATGTTGATATATTCTGCAAATATTATACAATTTATTTTTGCACAAATAATATATGTTTACCTTTCCAGCAATAGTGAACTGATAGAAGCACCAAAGGGGAGAAAAAGCACTATCCTTCCTTCATCCACTGCATGGTACTTGGCTGATGCACCTAATAATCATCCACCCTAATCCTGGCACCCTTAATTCTAGCATTGCACCATGAAGCAATCACATACTCTAAATTCAGTCATCTCTCAAAAAACCTGTCCTATGACTTCATGAGGCTTTGGGGAAACATCTAGACACAAGCCATAACATTCTGCCTTTGGATCCCCAAAAACTCATGCACAGCCCTTTGTGGAAAAAGCCATCTTCAAGATTTGCCAGACAGTTTCAGCATTACTGAAAAATCCAAATCTGAAGTCTTGGGCTTCAGGAGATTTAAGGCAAACTCTTAGTTGTGAGTCCCTGTACAAACAAAAAGAAAGTTAAACACTTCCAACATTCAATGGCACAAGTTTGACATTTCCATTCCAAAAGGTACAAAGAGGGGATACAAAGGAATGGGAACAAAGCAAATACAAAATCAGCAGGGCAAACCCGGAGTCCTATAATTCCATGTCCAGCATCCACGCCAATCTGTGGCAAGATGTGAACTCCAAAGGGCTTAGGTGGCTCCATCCCTACAGCACTTCCAGTGGTTGTAATCCCACAGCTTTTCTCCTGGCCCTGTCCTGCCCTGTCCTGGTGGGTGTCCTCATACAATCCACATTCCTGGCCTCTCCAAACTTCTGGGGTCTGTACTGCACCTTTAGCTCCACGCTTAGAGCTTCACACACTGCCCTCTCGGGGACAGACTTCCTGGCCTCCCAGGCCTTCTTCTGAAGCCTTCCCGAACCCACCACTCTTGCATTCTGCATACAACTAAAACCAGCACCACAAGGACAACGCCAAAGTCTGCTGCCAGCTGGAGCCATAGCAGGCTTTCCTCTCTCTTGGCTGTAGGGTTCAACAAACTGGATCACTGGCATCCTGAATCCAATTCTGCGGAGCAAATTCTGTGTGTTACCACTGTTCTGAAACATGATACTCTGGGGCTGTCTTCTCAAAGCAAAGTCTTTTTACCTTTGCAATTCTGAGGCTGCAAATGCTGAAGTCCTGCTGGTTCTTACAGTGCCCTCAGGCCATCTTTTTTGTTGTCTTCCTCTGAAGTATTTGACTTATTCTTGTTAGTTTTTTCAGTGACCAGTTCCTCCCCTGCATTCCCTCCATCTCTGCAGTCCACAATTATACTGGACTTTCCTTTCTGACCAAACTCTCAACATTTTAAAGCATTCTGCTGAGCTCTCTGTTCTTTATTCTCAACATAAACCTGGCTAGACACCCCCACACCATGCCACAGCCTCAACATGAGACTGCCTTGAAATTCCGTTTACAGAATTAATTAGTGTGCTGCCCTTAACCTCAGTCTCAGGCAATGTCTCTGGAATGGAGAGAAATACAGACACACTTTATACCAAGCCATAACACACATCATTTGGAGTCCAGCAACCAATGCAGTCCTTCTCAAGAGACCTCCCAAGCCTGGTCTTTACCAGCATCATTTCCATCAGTATTGTTGTCTTCTGAGCTCTGACCAGATTCTCCCATCAAGCGTGGCCTAAGCTATTCCAGATCTACTTTTTCAGCCAACATCTCAGAATCTTTCCAAGTTCTTTCTATAAGCCTGACCCAAAAGCTCCTGAACCACATGATCAGGCACAGTCATAGTAGCAATCCTACTTCCCTTGTACCAAATTTTTTCTTAATTACTGTTTTCTCATTGCTAGGACAAAATCCCCCACACTCAAAGTTCAGGGAGGAAAGGTTTATTTAGCTCACGACTTGAAGAAGTTTTAGTCCAGTCAGCTAGCTCCAGGGCGGGGCGGCAAGGCAGAGGGGCACCACAGAGGGCAACAGTTTGTGGCAGGTAGAAAGTAGGAAGCAGAGCAAGCAAGGGACCTTAATAGCATCTTTCCTGCCCCTTTTATATCACATCTAGCTACCAGGATTAGGGTGAAACCAAAACGATCAGGAGACCAATGTAGTACTTGCACACCTTAATCCAAGCATCATCCTTTCTACATCCACCTACCTCGGATAGAGCTCCATAGAGGACTGTGTGAGGCTTTGGGGGAACATCGAGACAGAGCTGTAGCACCTGCCTTGCCAAAATATTTATCAGTGAGCACTGCTAACAGGACTCTTGTTCCTTTCCCTTAGGGTTTCATTACTAGTGAGGTTGAATTGTTTTCCACATTTGCACATCACACATGTGTTTCTCTGTAGGATCTTTCCTCTCCCATTCATAAGCAGTCATGGTATTTCAGGATAGCAACTTCGTAGCTTGTTGCACTGTTTCTCCTAGACAGATGTATGTCCTAATATAGATTCATAATCAGATTAAGGCTGCAGCCAGGGGACCTAATTTAGACACATCTTGTGATTTGTCACTGTCCCGGGTACAAATGACCCAGAGGCCAAGTACAGCCCACTGTCTTTTTTCCTTGCTTCCTAGCACCATTACCATTGATTGCTGAGAAATCAATCCAGCCCTAAATGTTGCTGTGATTTAGTTCCTGGGTTGATCCAAGCATCTCCTCCATCTGCATTGACAGCACCTCGTTACTGAACAGCAAATCACCGGCTGCATCAGTCTCCTTAGCCATTAGCTCGCTTTGCCTCCATTAACTCCGTCCACAAGGACCCCGTCCTGAGCTGAAGTCTGGGGGTCTGCGTCTAACACATGTGCTCTCTAAGAAATCCTGGGGCCTGCGGATTTAGCTCAGCGGCATAAGCGCCTGCCTTGTAAGCAGACAGTCGTGAGTTCGATCCCTGGACCGATAAAAAGGCAAAAAAAAAAAAAAAAAAAAAATCCTGGCCCGTGGGCGTTAGTGTTGATGAAAAGAGCTAAGTCCACGCGTGTCTTCTTCGCGTGTTCTGATCCCCGGGTTGGTTCCTAAGCCTCAGGGTCTGGGCAGGTTCTCCCAGAGCCTGCTCCCCCGGGGAAGGAGCAGTGCCTCCGAGTTAGGGGCCAGAACGGCGGATGGGGCGCACGAAGACCCCAGGAACTGCACGGAAGCTCCTGGGAGGCGCCGTCCGGGCGGCGGGCAGAGGGGCTGCTGGGCCGGAGGGGTCACTCGCGAGCGCCTCCCGGAGGAGCCTCTGTGTTCTCGGCCAGGAGAGCAGCACGCACCGCCTGGCCTGGGGAACCGCGGGTAGGGCCGGGTCCGCTGCCTCCCGCACCTCCT